AGGACACAGGACACAGGGCAGGACGCAGGACACAGGACAGGACGCAGGACACAGGACACAGGGCAGGACGCAGTGTAGGACGCAGGACAAGGCTGGGATCGGAGTCGAGCGGCTGGAGGCGCCACCCGTCACCGCATGACTCTCTGGGAATGAAAACAAAGAAAAACCCCAAACAGTAAAGAGTGCAAGGAACTTCCTGGCTTTTACATCAAATCAGAACACGATGTCCCCCTCCCCATGGGTTGCACCCTACTTTATAATTGTTGTTAGTTGACATCCTGACGGCCCCAATTCACGACGACTATAGGTGTAATAAGCGAGCCCTGAGGAGTCCTGGGGTGCTGCAGGCCACTGCTGTGTCTGAATTTACTGTTGTGGTCACTGGGGGGGGGGTGTCTCTCAGCCAAGGGGCCCTCATCCTCCATCATGGCATCAGAGCACGTCCAGCTGTTTCCACCGGGGGTTTTTTGTTTGTGAACTTTGGGGAGCAGATCACCAGGCCTTTCCTCCTAGTCTTAGGCAGCTCCGTTGACACCTGTCCACCCCGTGGGTGACTCCGTGAGATACAGGTGGCATCACTTCCTGCCTGGCAGCTGCACACCAGCCACCCAGGTGCAAGGGGGCAGGAAGGGGTGGGTCCTGCCCTCAGGAGGCTGTAGTAGGACCTTTGGACTTTGCGTGGGTTTGAAATCTAATCTCCTATGTTGGCTACTGTGTGACCCAAGACCAACTGTTCTGTATTTGCTCTGTGACCCATTGGGGCTGTTTCCAAATCTCCACATCTGGCAAAGAGACATTGTATTCATAACCTCCTGGGTTATGATGGGTTTATTATTCATTTCGATGAAAATTTACAGAGACTTTGGATTTCCATTCATTCATTGTTGAACTTTTCCCCCTCTGCACCTCTCCCCACCCTCGCCCCCCGGCAGTTCGTTCTTCTCTTTGAAAAGTAAAAGAAAAATTCTTTCATTGTTATACAATCCCTCCCCCCAAATCCACTCCACTATGCAGCCTTCATTCTGGATTCCTGTCATGACAAAAATACCTAATCACATCCCTTTGAAACAGTTCTCTCCCTCATCTGTTTCAATGCAGTGTACATCATTTATCCCATCTTTCTCAGTCTCCCCCCAACCCCGATGTCAGTCCTGTTTTACAACAGTGGCATTATGCAGTATTTGTCCTTTTCTGACTGAGATATTTCACTCAGCATAATGTCCCCCAGGGTCACCCACTTGGTACAATATTTCATGAGTGCCTTGTTTTTCCAAAGTGGTGATATTTTTAATAACCTCTTTTCGGTGGGAGAGTTGGGCAATGGATAAGGAAGATCAAGGATGAGTAAGGCCTTTGAACCATGGTGTTGGTGCAGTGCATTGGACGCCCTGTGGATGGCCAGAAAAGCAAACAAATGGGTCTTGGAAGGAGTGTAGCCGGGGTGCCCCTCGGAGGCGAGGATGGGGTGGCTTTGTCTCTCGTACTTTGAATGTGTTACCAGCAAGGACAGTTCCCTGGAGGAGGGCATATTGCTGGGTGAGCTGGCGTGTCAGTGCAGGAGACAGACTGGCACAGGGACTGAGGATGGACGCCAGTCCAGCAGGGGCTGTGCCCGTTCTGGGTGGGTTCTCTGTGAGTGGGGGCCCATGGAACAGCAGCCACCACCACCAGAGCGTGGTCACGGGCGTCTCCCATCACCTGACATTGTTGGGTTTTCATTTTTGTTCCATATTGTGGACTCCCCTGGGGGAGCTCGTGGTTGGAACAGAGATGGGTGTCCTCCCTTCCTCCTGGAGCCTTGTCAAATCGAACCTTGGTTCCACAGTCACTGGCAGAGGTGGGGCGATGTGTTTTGTGTGTGCGCGTACTGTCAAATCAGATCTGACTGGTACAGGAGGAGATTGCCCCTCCTTCTCCAGCAGAGCATCTGGTGGATTCGAACCGTTCACCTCTGGGATTGCAGTGCTGCTTCTTGCCACTAGGCCACCAGAGCTGCCTCGGCAATGCGTTTTTAAATTATTTTATTTCATTTTACTTTATTATTTTGTGTGCGTGCACCATCAAATCAGACCTGACTGGTACTGGAGGAGATTGTCCCTCCTTTTCCAGCAGAGCATCTGGTGGATTTGAACGGCGTGCCTCTGGGAGCAATGTGTTTTTTAAGGTTTCTGTTTTCTTTTTTTTCTCCTCAACATTAGCACTAGCTTAGCGGCTGACGCTGCTGTAAATGAACACGCACAGGGTGTGGGTTTCACACGAGCTCTGTCTCCAAGGGAGCCTCTCAATCGAGCTGGTAGGTGGTCTGGTGCCTTCGACTCGCCCACAGTTCACGTGACTCTGTGAACGACAGGTCTGAACCTGGCCCTGTCCTCAGCACCCCCCATGCTCCAGTCCCTTCTTACCTCAGTGTGGATGCATCTGGTTGAGGGGCTGCCACTCTTTCGTTGACCCTCCACCTTCCCAAGCCTCCCAAGAATGTCCCCACAGTATATGAGACCGTCCTTGCCTCTGAGGAACCCCATCACTGCACTGCATCCAGGACAGACTTGTCTGTCCTTCTGACTGTGTGTGAGGCACTCAGGGCTCCTCTGCAGCACCTGTTTCAGACGCTCCTGGTTCCACCCACGCTCACGACCACCAGGCTGTTTTGGACTCACAGCTGACCCTCCAATGGGTCTCCCAGGCCCATCTTTCTCCCCAGAACAGCTGCTGGATTCGAACTGCTGGCTGTTCCATTAACAGTCACGCTCTTCCCCCCACCCCCCAATTAATTTTAATGCAAGTTTACAGAGACTTAGAGTTTCCAGACATTCATGGTTACACTCTTCTCCCTGCCCAACCCTTCCCCCCAATTCACTCTTCTCTGAAAAGTAAAAGTCTTTCATCGTTATGCGACCCCTTTCCCCAAAGTTCACTCCACTGTACAGCCTTCATTCTGGACTCCTGTCATGACAATAATACCCAGTCACAGATCCCTTTTAAACAGTTCTCTCCCTCATCTGTTTCAATGCAGTATACATTATTTATCCCCTCTTTCTCAATCTTCCCTCAACCCTGATGTCAATCCCGTTTTACAACAATGGTAGTATGCAGTATTTGTCCTTTTGTAACTGAGATATTTCACTCAGCATAATGTCCCCCAGGGTCATCCATTCTGTGTAATATTTCATGAGTTCCTTGTTTTTCAATGCAGCGTAGTATTCCATTGTGTGAATATACCACAGCTTCTCTATCCGTTCGTTTGTTGATGGGCACTTAGGTTGTTTCTAGCTCTTTGCTATTATGAACAAAACCGCAAGAAACAAATGGTGTGCATATATCTGCTTGAGGGGCAGTTTGGGTTTCTTTAGGGTATATTCCCAGTAATGGAATTGCTGGGTCAAATGATATCTCTAATTGCAACTTTTTGAGAAAGCGTCATACCGTCTTCCATAGTGGTTGCACCATTTTACACTCCCACCAACAGTGAATAAGTAAGGGTTCCGGTTTCTCCACCACCTCGCCAGTATTTGAGTTTGCTGTTCTGTTAAATTTTGCTATTCTGACTGGGGTGAGCAGTCACGCTTTTAACCCCTGTGCCACCAGAGCCTTTAGGATAGTAACCAAGACCTGCAGGGCAGAGCTTCCCATGACATTTTCCATTTTCCAGGGTGTGAAACATTAAGGGATGACCCCCCCCCCTTTCATTCCTTGGAGGGAGAGTGGGTTTGAACTACTGACCTTCCTGTTTGTAAACACTTAACCCACTGTACCCCCAGGGCTCCTTCCTAGGTTCCTGAGCTGTTTGCACCCTCCTGCAGGGCGTCCTGTTCTTGTTGTGTGCCCTCTAGCCAGGGCCGACCTGTAGCTGACCCTCCAGTGGGTTTGCACAAGCCGGTCTTGCCCCACTAGGGGGCAGCTGGTGGGTTCAACCCACCCACTTCTGGCCAGACACAGCCACGCCTTACCCACTATCAGTGCTATTTTATTTTATTCATTTTCCAACTTGGAAAATGTACACAGAGAGAGGGAGAGGGAGTCTGTAGTTCAACGCCCATTTAGAGAGTTTACCAAATGATGAGGCCCGGATTCTGAGTTTGTGGGGTTCACCCAGAACCCGGCCCTCTGCGCTCCAGTCAACTGGGATTCAGGGTGACGCTGCAGGACAGGAGGGCGACTGGGACTCGGGGTGACCCTGCAGGACAGGAGGGCAGAGGCCAGAGCATTCCTGCGCTGGGGCTTAATGACTACCATGTCCTCCTCCTGCAGAGGGTTCAAACAGGCAACCCTGAACTTAACAGCCCAGCATTTTGTCGCTCTCCCACTTTTTGAAGTGTGTCCCCCACAGTGTCCCTCCCAGAAGTGCCATCACAGGTGACCAGGGCCCAGGATGAGTGCTCACATTTCTATGTATCTTCCAATCCCCTGCGGTCACGTGAAAAGCTGCTAGATCACATGTCACAAGGGGCCAGGATCACACACCTACACCATTCCTTGCCTTTATTTTTTTTAAATTTTATTATTTTTTGAGTGTGTACCGTCACATCGGATATGACTGGTACAGGAGGAGATTGCCCCTCCTTCTCCAGCAGAGCTTCTGGTGGATTCAAACTGTGCACCTCTGGGATTGCAGTGCAGCTTTTTGCCACTAGGCCACCAGAGCCCCCTGCCTTTTTTTTTTTTTTTTAAGGCATTAAAAAAAAGGTGCTTTTTTTTCCCCCTAAACAAAACCCTGAGAAGTTGTGCTGTTCACAGAGCCCTGAGGGCATAGTGGGTAGGATGTAACCAAAGGCAGCCGAGGTCTGGGGGTTCGAATCCACCAACTGCCCGCGGGAGAAAGGCGGGCCACCTATGTGGTTTACAGCCTCGGAAAGTGTGGGGGTCAGCTGGTCAGTTCGGAGCTGACAGCGGTGGGTTGGCACGCAAAGCCTTCCTGTGTTTGACTGTATGTCCATCTATCTGTCCCTCCATGGAGCCCTGGCGGCAGATGGTAAGCCCTGGCTGTCCCTCTGTCCCCACAGATGTCGGTGCTGAAGCAGTTGGGACCCTCGCAACCCAAGAGGCGGCCGGAGCGCGGCGTCCTGTCCATCTCGGCGCCCCTGGGCGACTTCCGACACACGCTGCATGTGGGGCGCAGCGGCGACGCCTTTGGGGACACCTCGTTCCTGAGCCGCCACGGCGGGGGCCCTCCCCCAGAACCCCGTGTGCCATCCACCGAGGTCCCTCGCTGCACTCCACCGCCCTCCATCCCACAGCCCCCCGCACCCGAGCCCAGGACCCCCGCTGACCCCCTACTGTCCTTCCACCTGGACCTGGGCCCCTCCATGCTGGACGCGGTGCTGGGCGTCATGGACGCGGCATGCCCGGGGGTGGCCACCAAGCCGGGCCTGGACTCCCACTCGGCCACCCAGCACCCCCACCCTGGGGCCAGCCAGCCCCACGCGGGTCTGGAGCAAAATGAAGGCCTGTAGCCCCCTTCCTCTACCCTTGCATAAACCACCAGCTCTCTAGGGCTCTACCTGCTCACTTTGGGGTGCGGGGACTCAGGGAGAGTGATGGGGTGCAGGAAAAGAGTGAATAAAAGCGGCAGGGGTGATGAGATCCTGGAGGAAGAATAATGAGACCCCCCCACAAGGGTAGAGGTGGGGTTGATGAGAGCCAGGAGGGGTGCAAGGCAAGAGTGGTTGGTTCCAGGGGTGGGTGATGGGATTCCCCCAGGTAATGGAAGGAGTGATGGGGGGGATGACAGAGAGTGGAGGGCGAGGTGATGGGGTCTCCAAGATGAGGGAGGAACAGGTGGGAGCTGGGGGAGAGTGATGTAGGGGCGATGCAGCCCTGGAGGAAGGAGGGGTGGGGAAGGAATAATGGGGTGCTGGGTAGTCGGGGGCCTGGAGGCGGGGTGATAGGAAACGCAGGAGGGCTAACAGAAGTCTGGAGAGGAGGGATGGCGTCCTGCTCTTTTAATAGGCTCGGCAGGGAAGGAGGCAGGTGTGTCACTGGAATCTAGGTGCAGCCCAGACTCCCTGCGTGCTGAGGTGCGCTGCCCCCCCCCCACGGGGCGCGTCAGGAGGTGGGCGCTCCCCCCCCAGCCTCCTTCTGTCCTCAGTTACTGAACAGCTGCATTGGCCGCCAGTCTGGCCTTAGGGACCAGGTACTCACGGGGTACCTGGCTGTGGACTCTGCCCAGGTGGACCTTAGAGCCGCCCTTTGTCCGGGAGCATCTGCAACAGGAAAAGGTGGGGATCCCTTCAGAGCCTCAGCGGGCGAAGCACCCAGTTAGAGGCTCCTTGCCTGAGTGGCCCTGGAAGCCAGCCAGAATCAGATCTCAAATCGGAAGTTCATCCAGCCCAGCAGAGGGCGTTGCCAAGTTATCTCGTGGGCGGGGCCAATATGTAAACACCCTCCGTGTGGGCGGGGCGCATATGTAAATAGGGCGATCTTAGGGGCCTAGGGCTAGGACTGGATCTGTTTGTAAATAATGTGACGGGGAGGGCACATATAAGGTGACTAGAGCCGCAGGCAACTCGACGGCACATAACAACAACAACAACAACAACATGGAGCAGGGCTAGTAGCATGTTAATAATGCAGCCTTGCAGTGTGGCCCATAGGTGGTTATTACACATGCCAGTAACACTGCCAGGTGGAGTCACATATGTAGTAAGTAATGTCACATGGAGGTAGAGCTCAGATGTAAGTAGTGCATCTGTGGGTGGAGTATTGGGAATAACTCCAGGTCTTAACTATTTCATTTTGCTTGTTTTCCCAATCAGCACTCAAAGTAATAGAAATCAAATCTAGGGGAGCTCTGGTGGCCTAGTGGCAAGAAGCTACACTACAATCCCAGAGGTGCACGGTTCGAATCCACCAAATGCTCTGCTGGGGAAGGAGGGACAATCTCCTCCTGTACCAGTCAGATCTGATTTGACGGTACACACAAATAATTGTTTGTTGTTGTTATGTGCCGTCGAGTCGCTAGCGACTCATAGCGACCCCATGTACAACAGCCCTAAACTCTGCTCTGTCCTGTGCCAATCACACTGCCTCTGACACTACCATCCCGATTACCCCAGTCACTGAATCAATCCACCTCATAGAGGGCCTTCCCCTCCTGCGCTGTCCCTCCACCCTCCCAAGCATGATGTCCTTCTCCAAGGACCGGTCTCTCCTCACAACATGTCCAAAGTATGTTAGACGGAGCCTCAGAATCCTTGCCTCCAAGGAGCCACCCGGTTTAACTCTTTCCAGGACAAATCTGTTTGTTTTCCTAGCAGTCCATGGTATTGTCAATTCTCTTCTCCAGCACCACAGCTCAAAGGCATCAATTCTCCTTCTATCCTCCTTGGTCATTGTCCAACTCTCTGATGCATAACAAGTGATTGTGAAGACCATGGCCTGTTTCAGACGCACCTTAGTCTCCAGAGAGACACCATTGCTCTTCAGTACTTTGGAGAGGTCCCTAACAGCAGACTTCCCCATGGCAATGTGCCTTTTAATTTCCTGCCTGCTGGTGCCAATACTGTTGACTGTGGAGCCAAGCAAACTAAAGCTGTGAACAATCTCAATCTCTTCACCATCCATCCTGATGCTGCCAATTGGTCCAGTGGTGAGAATCTTTGTCTTCTTGACATTGAGCCTCAATCCATATTGTAGGCTGCAGTCCTTGACCCTCTGCAGCAGGTGCTTCAGGTCCTCTTCAGTTTCAGCAAGCAGGGTTGTGTCGTTCGCATAACGCAGATAGTTGATAAATCGTCCACCAATCTTGACCCCACATTTCTCCTCATAGAGCCCAGCCTCCTGGATAATCTGTTCTGCATAAAGGTTGAAAAGGTATGGAGATAGGATGCATCCCTGGCGTATGCCCTTCCCAATTTTGAACCATGAAGTGCTCCCTTGCTCTGTTCTGATGACTGCCTCCTGGTCCAAGTATAGGTTTCGCATTAGAACGATCAAGTGTTCTGGGATTCCCATTCTTCTCAGAGTCAGCCACAGTTTGTTATGATCCACACAATCAAATGCCTTTGCATAATCAATGAAACACAGATAGACATTCCTCTGGTATTCCCTGCTTTCAGCTAAAATCCATCTAACATCAGCTACAATATCTCTAGTACCACGACCCCTTCTGAACCCAGCCTGGACTTCTGGTAGTTCTCTGTTGATGTGCTGTTCCACAAATAATTAAAAGAAGAAAAAAAGAAATCGAATCTGAAGACATGTTGCGTGGGGGAAATCTACTATCAGAGATCTCTACAAAGTGCTAAAGCGCAATGATGTCAGTTTAAAAGACTAAGGTGCACTTGGCATGGTTGTTTTCAGTTGCTTCCTGTATGTCTGAAAGTGGGACAGTCGGTAAGGGTAACAGCAGAACTGATGCCTTTGAATTGTGCCGTTGGAGAAGAGTTGTTATGTGCCATCGAGTCACTTGAGACTCATAGCGACCCTATGTACAACAGCCCTAAACTCTGCTCTGTCCTGTGCCAATCATACTGCCTCTGACACTACCATTCCGATTACCCTAGTCACTGAATCAATCCACCTCATAGAGGGTCTTCCCCTTCTGCGCCGTCCCTCCTTACAACACGTCCAAAGTATGTCAGGCGAAGCCCCAGAATCCTTGCCTCCAAGGAGTAGCCTGGTTTAACCCTCTCCAGGATGAATCTGTTTTCTTAGCAGTCCATGGTACCAACACTCTTCTCCAACACCAAAGCTCAAAAGCATCAATTCTCCTTCTATCCTCCCTGGTCATTGTCCAGCTCTCTGGCGCATAACAAGTGATTGCAAAGACCATGGCCTGTATCATACACACCCTAGTCTCCAGAGTGACACCATTGCTCTTCAGTACCCCGGAGAGGCCCCTAACAGCAGACTTTCCCATCGCAATATGTTCTTTTATTTCCTGGCTGCTGGTGCCAAAATTGTTGCCTGTGGAGCCAAGCCGACTAACAATCTCAGTCTCTTCACCATCCATCCTGATGCTGCCAGTTCTTGACATTGAGCCTCAATCCATACTGAAGGCTGCAGCCCTTGACCCTCTGCAGCAAGCATTTCAGGTCCTCCTCAGTTTCAGCAAGCAGGATTGTGTCATCTGCATAACGCAGATTGTTGTTAATAGATCTTCCACCAATC